GAACGAGAAAACAGGGCCAGGATCGGGATAAATCGCTCCAGAGCGTTCCGGAGCGCTCTCGGAGCGTTCCGGAACGCTCTGGAGCGGCCGCGGCGCCCAATACATCCTCCAAACCCGCCGATTCTCAGAGATTTCGAATTATCCCGATCCGATTTTGTCCCGATCTTCGCGTCGTTTTAAGCGACGCCAGAGTCACCCGCTGTGACAACAAGACGCGACGCCAGGAGCTCAGGGTGGTCCGGGCCGCCTTCGGCAGGGACCTCCTCGTGAGAGGGCGGCAGCCGAGCGTCCTTGTCGTGCGCCCTCAGGAGGAGGAGGAGGAGGAGGAGGAGGAGGAGGAGGAGGAGGAGAAGGAGGAAGAGGAGGAAGAAGAGGAGGCGGAGGAGGCGGAGGAGGCGGAGGAGGAGGAAGAGGCGGAGGAGGTGCCGGAGGAGGAGGAGGAGGCGGAGGGAGTAGGAAGGAGGCGGAGGAGGCGGAGGAGGGTGCCGGCGGAGGAGGAGGGGGAGGAGGCGGAGGAGGCGGAGGAGTTGGCTGCATCGCTCCCCGTGGGGCAGCGCCCCGAGCGGCTCGTGACGGCCGGCGCCTGGTCGGCGGCCCGTGGCTCCTCGTGTGCGGTGCCCCCGCCCCTGCTGCTGCCTCGGCTCCCGCTCTCCTCCCCTCCCCGGGGGCGACGGGAGGTGCGGTGGAGGCCCATTCCTCCTCCTCCTCCTCCTCTCCTCCTCCTCCTCCTCCTTCTCCTCTTCCTCGTCCTCCTCCTCGTCCGCCTCCTCCTCCCTCCTCCTCCTCCTCCTCCTCCTCCTCCTCCTCCTCCTCACGTCTCCTCCTCCTCCTCCTCCTCCTAAGAAGCACCCTGCCCGCCTCCAGGGTGCCCTGGGGTGCTTGGGCTGCGCTGGTCTCGCGATGGAGGGCGCGACGCTCCCACGCCAAGAGTCAACGAGCGGCCTGGGGCCTCGGGGTAGGGCCTCCTGTGGCAGGTCTCTTGTGGACCCGCCTCCACTGTAGCCGCAAAGGGTCTTCAATCGAAGAAGTGGGAACAGCACGAAACATAAACTTGGGGCGCTTGGATCCCCGGCGCTGCCTCGTGGCGCGCTCCGCGCGCCAAGGAAGGGGTTTCTAGATACATTGCCGAGCTAATTCGCTAAACCGCCATTGACCCTGATTTCCCAGAGTGCAGAAGACAGCTCTCTCATACCCCATTGGGGGGAAATGTCACCCCGACCCACTTAATTGGCGTTTGCTGAACGGCCCTGGGCGTTTACTGAACAGCCCTGCCCTGTTTGATTCCTTTCTTGGGTGCGTCTACTGATCGGCTTCGCTTGCCGGGGGTGCTTATCCTTACGAGGTTAGTGTTTGTGCTCTCTACTGAAACGTCAGATGGGACTACAGTCGGGGCGCTGAAGAAGGAACCCTTTTCGTTGGGGAGGGGCTCGGTGTTCCCTAGTTATTTTGCAGTTCGCCTTTGGTTTTGCTTAGGGTTTCGATGGGAGGTCGAAGTTTAACTTATGGGAAAAAGGGGCCTCGTTCCTGATTTAGGGTTCCTTAGGTCAACGCCTCGACTGTACAATTCACAGGTCCTGATGCTACTGTCTATCCCTCCTGGAAGGCCAGGGTGCTGTCGCCCACCGGTATCGTGGAGGGGGCCAGGTGGGCGAGGAGAAGCCTCCCTCCTCCGGCTCCCTCCCCCTGCCTCCTCCTCCTGCCCGTGCCCCCCCCCCCCCCCCTCCAACCCCTCCGACATCTTTCTGCCCTCCGTCCCTCCGACACCTTCCTGCCCCCCATCCCTCCCTGTCCCCCCGAACTCTTCCTCCTCTTCCTGCCCCTCCCTCCCCCGTGCCCCCTCCCGCCTAATTACCTGGAGTACCCGGGAGGCCGCTCGGGAGGCCCCCGGAGCCCTCTCTTTTCCGTCTGCCTCCGCAAGTTCCCGCAGGTGCTCCCGGAGGCCCCCGGAGGCCCAGACAGCCCAGCGACGCACCAGGCCCAGACAGCCCAGTGCCTGATCCTTGAGCCATCGATCCTCGAGCCTTCCAAGAAGCCACTGGCGTGCGTCGCAACTCTCTGACGACGGGCGCTTTCGCCCCCTTGCGGGCCCCGCCGGGGCCCTCACAGATCGAGCCGGCTCGAACAGTGATGCCGCAAGGTGGGGTCTGGGGCTCCGGGACGTTTTTTTTTTTTTTTTTTTTTTTTTTTGTTTTTGTTTGTTTGTTTTGTTTTTTTTGTTTTCTTTGTGTGTTGTTTTTCATTTTAAGAAAAACGGTGCTGCATTTTTTTCGCAACGTCGGATCTTAGGGTTGGCGCTCCTCCCCAGCGATGGAGCTCACAGGTCGTCGTGCTCCCAGCACCGCTGGTTGGGCCCCCCCCCCAGCCCCCCCCCCCTCCCCAGAGGAGATGGTCGACAAGGCGCACGAGCGGTATATGCAGGCTGCTCTTTTTGGGGCGTCGCGGCGGGAGTCGCATAGAGGTGCGGTGTTGGAGGGGGATTTGAAGGACGACGAGGGGGAGG